ACTGCTGAATCAAAAACTTATCGAATCGGCAAAAAATCATTTGGTCAATTTTTTACCAGATGTCCCAAAAATAATGAAAACAGCTGTAAATTAGATTTTTCCTTATGCCGGCCATACTAATTCTTAATTCCGGCCACCAATTCTTAAGCCGGCCTAACTAATTCCTAATGCCGGGCACGGTGCCAAGCACTAGTGCCTGTGCCAAAAAAAATGCCTGAACCTATCTAACCATTCTTCGGGTCTCACAGTGTAAAGGGCTAATTTGACCCTCCGGATATACTACCTTCCAATGTAGTACCATGCACGATTTCTTGGATTTTTGTTATTCTTATTATTTTTGTTATAGTGTCGATCTACAAAATTAAAAAGATCGTTAGTATAGGATAGATAAAAACTATAACAACGAAAGGACAGATAGTATAATAATTATAGGATGGATAATATTTACCTATAGGATAGTACTTATCTTTTGTATTTCTCTTATTTTCATATATGTAAATATATCTATATAAAGGGATGCCTTTTCCCTTCAATAAAAACAGATCAAAACTTGGAGACGATTCGAAAACCCTAACATATGGGCGAATCAGCGGAATTGGGCCTTAGTTGGAGGCACTAAATATTAACTTGAACCCCATACTTTCCCGTATTTAATTGGTCAATATATAGAACAATTACTCGATAATATCTTAATAATTTAAAACTATACCTTAAATAATTTTAAGGATATAATGATTATGCAAAAGTATGCGTCAAACCCATCTGACTCAGCCCAAAACCCATCTCATTCCTATTGAGTAGAGCTACTCAGACATGTCATTTGACAGCCAAACTCTACTAAAACATATCATTTGCCACTGTATATTGTTATCTTTAAAAGAGCAAGTTTCGTAACTTTTTTTTTTTTATAAAAGAGATGCATTAATAAAAAGAGCCAGTTGTTTTTTAATTATGAGTTTACAATCGTCTACCTCTTCACAAAATTTAATATCTACTTTGGTCTCTTGTCCAGTTTGCTTTTGAAAGTTTAAATCAGAAAGCGGCTATAAACAGCATTGTAACACAATTAAAAAGTATAATATATTACGCAGTGATATTGATGAAATTCCAGTCAAAACTTTGCATGAATTTAAGAATATTTTAATTCAGCAAATACATCGCCAATTACCTTTAAGTTTTACCAAAATAGGAAAAAAGGTACTATCATTGCCGTGTACTGAAAGTCAATTTCTTGCAGTTTTTAAAGGCCATATTTACCAATTTTCAAATAATCCACGAGTATATAAGTGTAGATTTCATGGAGAATCTGCATATTTAACTCTAACACAAATTTTTGAAAACCCCAAGTGGGGTCAAAAATGTTATACTCAAAATCAACAAACGTATGTCATTTTGGAACAATTAACAGATCAATTTTATTCCAGTATTGACAAAGACCAGAATAACGACAATGATCCTCTAGTACAGTTAAATAATCAAAAAAAAAAAAAAATCAAAATTTTCTCGTGGTGAGCTTCTAGTTGAATGGAAAAAAAAAATCATTAAATAGATGGACATATTTGTACTGCAGGATTTATATACTTATCTTTTTATATATCGCAAAGATGTATACTTTCTGTATAAATATTCATTTGTAAGCAAATTTAAGTTTTCACTATACAGCTTCTAAACTCAAAAAGTTATAATAAAATATATTGTGATCATATTTTAATTATCTACAATATTTGTTATTCTTACTAAATAGATTCATGATAGATATTAATAAGTTTCGCAGTAGTGTAATTATTATAAAGAAAAGCTTGCTACAGTAATGCCAAGTTTAGTTCTAATTTACAATGTAATAAATTATAGTTAAAAATTGTATTAATATATGTAAGTAATGAAAAAGTAATAAAATAAATGTCATATTCAAAATAATTAATTGAATAATAATAAAATACCTGAATATATGTATCAAAGCTGTTGTAGTTACTTGATAACCTTTCTCGCTCACTATTTAAGTTAGGTCTTTTAATAGTAAAAGCTACTAATTAACCTGCGACAATAGTTTAAGTAAATTTAAACTAACACGATTACATAATATAAGTATATACTTTATACAAATTGTGAGTTTATTCTATCTAGTTTCAGAGATATAAAGACTTTGTGATTTATAGTATATATTTACAATACCCGCAAATATATATTTTATTTAAAATCAAGTTTAACTCTGATAAAAATCCAAGATTCAAGCCAAATGTTCTGTTTATTTTATTGAAGGTCTCAAAATTATTATAGATTTTTAAGACTAATGATAACGCTTCTAAGTTGTATATATTATCTTGCTATAGTGAAATTGGAGTAGGTAATAATGATCACTTTACTATTTTTAGAGAGAGGTTCTAGCGAAGCACTAAAAGAGTAATTAATTAAACATTAATATTAATTTATAATATATAATTATAATACTTATTTAATACGAAGTTTTTTAATTTTTTGTACAGGAAGGTTATTATAAGCAAAAAAAAGGTTTCGTGATTCATATTCTAAAATTTCAATTGTAGCTGCATTTCTCTTAAGTAGATTTCCACCATTCATAGCAGTTTTACGAAAAAAAAAAGATACATGCATGTGATTTTTTTTTTCAACTGCGCTACAAGAGAATGCCTTTAACCCCCAACGGTTATGTTTTTGATATAATTCCCATCTGTGAAATATTAAAAAATGAATATAAGGAGTTATATGAATTGGTAAATAAAGACCTTTGATGATGTTTTGTGGATTATTTGAATCTTTTTCATCAGGTTTTAAAAAAAATTTTAACCATTCAAGTGCTAAATATTTTATATATAAAGGATCATTATCTTTATCAAATATTGCCTTATATAATTCGATAAATTTGTTCCACAAAGATTGAATTAATTTAGCTCGACTTGGACGAAAAAAAGTAGCTAAATTAAAATATTGTAATACTTTAATTTTATCATTACCAGTTAATGATGTGTATTTCCACGTATTAGATTCTTCCCAGAAATGAAATTTAATATTGAGCCGTTTCATCTCATTTACAATAATTTGACGACTGATATCATTAAATAAACCTCGTTCTTTAATTTCTGATAATATTAATGTCCAAAGCCTGTCTTCAACTCGTAATAATACATGTAACTCATCAAACACGTAGTTAGATAAAGGAATCATTTCAAATAATGGTGGTTTGATATGGCTAGGTATATTAAGATAATTATTTTTTAAATCATCCATTGATTTTGTAATTCGCCAATCTTGTGTTATATTACCAATTTCTTGTTTAGAACAGAGACACCAAGCACAAAAATGATTTGAATTTGCTGCATTTAGTCCAAGACAAATTGCGAGAAATTTCCAATCACTACTAAAATATAATTCAAAATACCAAAGAATACCTTCAACCTCTAATCCATTAATTTTAAGATCTCTAAGATCGTTAAGAAATGGATTTAGTATAATTTCGAGAGATTCATATCTTTCAATTCCCGGATATAAAGCAATAGTATAGTGATAATTAGGCATATGTTGGTGCTTTTGATCATTAAGAATCATAAAGGTGATCATAACATGTTTAACTTTCCGACCTACATTTCTGCCATCACCAGAAATTCGTAAATGTATTATTGGATCGGCAATTGATAATATATCTTCATGTACTAAATAAGGAATTAAATATCTAAGTATTCCTTTACAGTTACGTTGCCTACCAGTACCTACTGAACTTAGAACTTTATTAATATCTATATTAACATCTATATTATCAGATCCTTCACTAATTTCTAAACTATCTGTTGCATCCATATTCATATCAACAAGTTTAATTGGAATGTCTTCAGTCATCTTATAAGTTAAATTATTCCGTTCAGTTACGATATTATGTTCACGTGGCAGATAATAATTTATTGCAGCTAAACTTCGATAAGCATCACGAGAAATATAATTTGAATCTATTGTTTTAATAATATTTAAAATTTCATTTTTGTTTTGTATAATATCATCTGCTCCAAAATTTAGATGATAAATATGATTATCAACAGAATATTCGAATGACTTTAATAAAATAGAATCCTGCTTATGGTATGTAAATATGGAATTTTGAACAAATTCTTTTTTAATCATCTCTGCAATATCTTTTGCACGTCTATCAAGTGTTGACTGGGAATATTGTTCAGAAGGTTTAATTAAATATGGCATTGCAGGTAAATATTGTTTAGGTCGAGATTCTCTAATATTTTTAAGTATCTGAAGCTGTAATCCAAATAGCAACGATCCAGACAATCGACTTGTTTTATTTATAGCCTTTTCATAGTTTGTTGCAGCCGTGGTAGCTGATATACTTGATTTAATTTCATGTTCAAAAAAGGTACCAAATCGAATTTGAAATTCTGGTTTTCCATTTACATAGACTATTTTACACTGAATCGTTTGCTGATTTTTACCACGTCCCCAACTAGTTATCACAGAATAATTATCAGAAATTGGATGCTTTTTAGGAGGTAAAGTATAATGAAGTTTAGAAGCATTTAGATAAAATCCTTCAGCCTCTATAAAATAATTAAAAGATCGTTGTGTAATATTATTTTTTGTTTCTTTATAAGTGATCATAGGACTTGTAGGATAATTTTCTAATTCGAAAGTTTTAATTTCTAATTCGGTTGTTTTATTTGAATTCTCTAAGTGAGTTGACATTATTTTGTTAATTAAGCAGCAAAATTTAAAAATACTTTTACACAGAAGAGTTTATTTAAAGTTCTAACAGCAATAATGCACTTTTATATTGAATTTATATAGTTTATTAATTATAGATACAATCATTCAACACAATAAATCGCCAAACCAACAATAATGCTAAAGGTAGAATTAAAAATTATGTTAGTATAATAAATTATAGTGCTTTCAAGCATGTAATTCAAAACTTTTCATGAATATGTAGTTATTCGCTATTTGATACCAGGAACCAAAACACGAAGTGTTAACACATGTTCTAGCTTCAAACTCTAATTGTATGTATAATAATATAGTCTATAAAACAAATACGATATTATTATCAGTAATGAATAATGATAAATTAAAAAGTTGACTGTGTAATCAAATGAAAGTAAGAACAATTACAATATTCGCATATATAGTAAATGTATAATAAATTAAAGCAATTAGACAATTACAATGTCAAATGTATGCCTCAGAATATTTTAAGCTAATTCTAATACGTACTAACTTTTATTCTAATTAATATTATATTATATACTAAATCGTATTTGGTATTCATGTAATTATGATCATACATAACAATGTTAATTGAACTTGCTTACATACACAAAATTAAATTACTAGTTATCGTTATCTTGAATAAAGTTGCTAACTTTAATATCTCAATAACTAAGTCTAATCAAAATATAAAACATAAAGAGTATTAAGTTGTATATTCTCACTGGTCTACCAAGTAGAAAAGTTTGAATATTGTATGCATGTACCTTAAACTACAATTATTTTTGTTCATAAGTTTGGTAGTGGTACTTATTAATAGCATTCAAAATAACGCGAATTTAGGATTAATTATTTGTAATTTAATTTATAGCAATAAAAAATTACAAATACTGGTTTTTATAAAATACAACTAAGCTGTAACTAGTAAGATCGGGTACTCGCAGGGTCAAAATGTATCAAGAATATGTTATGAATTAAATTTTAATTAGCGGAAAGTATTTTTAACTGATCAATCATACTTGTCATTAAAATAAATAAAGTATGTAATTACAAATTTTGAATAACATTTAATCAACCACATAAAGCTACTCAAGCCTTTACTTTGATCTATTGCAACAATTGCAAATCACTACAACTAGTAATGGGACCTTATGAATTATTAATAATTAATAATTATTAATAATTAATTGGCAGAGTTATTAATTAAAAATTACTTAATAATATATGGCGCAGCCAAATAAAAAATTGTACATGTCGATATAGAAAATATGCTTTTGCTATTAGCTTTACGATAAAAATTATATCAATTAATATTCTTCTATCAGTGTTTAAATTATTAGTAATTGTCGCATCCTTTTTTATTATATTATTATTACATGATGTTATATAGGGTACGGAATGGGCCGAGCCGAGCCGGGCTTGCCAAAAAAAAAAAAAACCAAACCTGTAAAATATTTTTGAGCCCAAACCCGGTCCAGGAAAAAAAAAAAGCCCAGAGAGTGGGCCGGGCCAGGTTTTGTTTAAAACTAGGCCAAGCCCAAGCCTGGACACATTAATATTGTTAAGCAAATGATTGAATGAATGAAAGTTACTTCTGTAATAAATTGTCTGGAAAAAATAAAGCGATTATACAAATGCTATGAAACATTTGGAAAGAGTATAAATACCACACAAGGCCTTCGGATGTCTATTTATAAAATCAAGCAGGTGTTTTATCTGTTATATAATATATGTACAGTACGTAGCGGCACAAAATTTTTACTCAGTTTAAATAAAGTTTAAATGAATTATTATTGAATCATATCGATATGCAATTAAGAGGGCACAAAGGAATAAAAGAGCAAAGGAAAACTTTCACAAAATGACATGGCTACCTACGTTCGTATATAATAATAATTATCAGTTATATACCCTGATATATATTGAAATAATGCTATGCGCAATAAAATGAACTTTGGAAAATTATTTATATAAAGGACGTATAATACAAATAAAGATAGTATCAAGTCAATTTAGTTTCAGCAAGAGTAACCGAACAACACGGAGATAAATTGGCATAAATTGAAAGGATCCGTCCGGCCTATTGGGCCTAACCCCTAGTATCAGTTACGTAGCCGCTATTTAAAATTTTGATTTGAGATTATAATAGTAGTTATAGAGGTATATACTGTATGTATGTACAAGAACTTTGTTATTTAATACTAATACACAAAAATCAGCGAAATTTATTAAAATTCAGCTGATTTTTGAAAAATTCCTGCTCATGCAGGAAATAATATAGCTAAAAACAGAAATGAATATTTAATAAAATATTTAAGTATCTGTTTTATAGTATCCTTTAATTTTAGCTATCCTATTTCCTGCATGAGCAGAAAATTTTCAAAAATCAGCTAAATCTTATGATATTTATTAAAATTCAGCTGATTTTTGAAAATTTCCTGCTCATGCTAAAAACAAAAATGAATATTTAATAAAAAAATTCAAATATCGATATCTGTTTTTATAGTATCCTTTAATTCTAGCTATCTTATTTCCTGCATTAGCAGGAAATTTCCAAAAATCGTCTAAGTCTTATGATTTCTCATCTAGAGGTTAAAACTGTTAAAAACTGGTGTTAGTGTAAATTTAACAAGGCCATCCTTAAATTGTTGTCAGGATCACATGTGTGTTGTCTTCATTATAATGTACATATTTCTATATTTAGATGTTCTTTATAAATTGTATATTATATAATTATCCAATTTTAATATAATAATAAATAGTTTTTATACTCACCAACTAAATTAATGTAAATAAAATAAAATAAGTATAGTAAATATTTATAGCTTATTTTTAAATATATCGATTAATAAATATTCTTTACACTTACTGACTAAGAGTATTCTCAAGCACCTTACTCAATGGGTCAGAAGCAAAATTTTAATTAGTCAGAAATTGAACAAACTGATCAAGTGAGTTATTATTTCGATGAACAAAATATGGAGGCAAAGACTATCTTTTTTTTTCATAGTTACTCTAATTGGCTAAAATTTAATATCTGCATTTCGCATTATGAATATTCAGCAACATCTCAATCACTATCAAATCTCATTGAGAGAACACTCTAAATAACTTAACTTTCTAATCCATTCCTCATATTAATATTCGTTCTTTGTCATACCAATTCTATATTTGTAACTGCATTGTGCTTATCTATTTTAACTCCAATTCCTGAATAGCAACATTGGCCAACTTGATACATTCCATTAGAATTATTCATTCTGGGTCAAATTTTGTGCAAGTGGATTGTAAAAATAAAACTGGTTCCAACCTCTATTCTCATCAATATTTATCATTATTTAAAGATTTTAAATAAATATAAATGTTATTAATTGAAAATAATCCAAAATTTTCTGCTATTATCATTAAAAAATTATGGTGTTACATCTTTTTGCGCTATAATTTTATGATAGCTATCTTATTTCCTTCATGAGCAGGAAATTTTTAATTTCTCATCGATATTTATTAAAATTTAGCTGATTTTTAAAAATTTCCTGCTCATGCAGGAAATAAGCTATCTAAAACCAGAAGTGAATATTTAATAAAACATTTAAATGTTTTTTTTATAGTATATTTTAATTTTAGCTATCTTATTTCCTGTATGAGCAGGAAATTTTTAAAAATTAGCTAAATTTTAGTCTTAAATAACTCGAATTTTGATATTGTATCAATTTAAATCATATTTAGACGGTCTAAAAGATATTTAAAGGACAAAATTTTCTTTGACTAAGAAAACATCTAGTTCATATAATTAATCTTTTTTGTTGCTCAATATTTTTTATAATTTGTATAATATATCATCTAAAACTTTGTAAATTCTAATGGCTACTT